CCCAGCCTGGCGGGAGCGGCCCCGGCCCCGCCGCTAGGAGTCGGCTGGGAAAACGGCTGTGTGGAAACGTTAACTCGATAAGCAGCTCAACATCAAAACCGAAGTTCGATTCGTTCCTCCAGAACGCCCAGACGGTTATTTCGGGAGTCGGCACAAGGCACAGGCAGGCGCCAAGGAAGGACAAGTCCTGTCCCAGCCTCAGCGTGGGTATGTTACGGACGAGGCTCAGCTACACAAAAAACCCAAACCCCACATAAAATACCCAAGCTGGCCTTCAGTGGAGCCTGCGTGCTTCTCACAAAGAACTTTTTGTACCCAAGAGTAAGGCTACAAAATATGGAAGAATTACTTAAGACGTGATACATTAAGACATTAAATACCAAAGAATTGAGAGTGGTATCTACTATGTATGTTAGTGAGCTAGCGTCACTTGCCTGTTGTCATCTGTGCACAGGGTACTTCAGTGTAAATAGAACCTTTCACTGTCTTTATGACCTGGTCAGTGATCAGGTTACTGACATGAGGGAGAAATGTTCCTTATTTTGCAGTACCGCGCAACTTACCTTTGAGGATTGAAACCATTTCACTTTGGCAGTGGATAAATAGCATCACATATTAGGAAACAGTGGTCCCAGCAGTCAATGAGATAAAGTTCTCATACTCTTACCTCAGTATTTTACAAACTGATCATTTAAATTATAGTTCTTCACAATAGCAGTACCTCTGGCTAAGATGAACTATTTTATGAAAGCAATGCATGTCAACTTTACCCTAAAAGCCCTCTAAATTTAATTATTGCCAAACACCAGGTTAGGAGTTCATTAACTAGGATCACATCACATGTACTAGAAGGTAATTTGCAACTATAAGCAATAATTCAAGACTTCTAGCAGTGAGCATTAAAAAAGTAGGTGACTGTCTATATGCTTTTGGTCTGACACTTAAGAGCTAGCTCACTAGCTTTAAGTAATTGTTTGATTTTTATCATTAGATAAAGATTCTGCTTTGGCATGCAGGGTCAAGCCTTGTGTTGGCAACTGAAGTCCTATTTTGATGTTACAACTAAGCAAGCAATATTGTATGCAGTCATTTTAAGGCAAATACATCAGAAAGTCATATAGTGCAGTTCTAGAGCTGTGTCATTGCTTTGTATTAGCTGTAAGGAAGGTTGAAGCTAGCTGGCACCATTTCTGTCCCACACATTGTAACTTCAGGAATTGTGTGCCCTACTTGAGGAGGGTATTGATTGCAAAAGTTAATGAACAGTTATTGTATTAGTTCAGTCCTTAAGCAACAGTTTCAGTACATCACTGCTGTTACTAACCCTTAAAAGCACACCAGCTTGGAATTGCCATCTGTCAGTCCAGTAACACTGACAAGAAGCTTTAAAAGCTTTTAGCCTAACGCAATCTGTCCAGCTAGTCTGCCAAAAGGACACGATGATGCTGCTACAGCTGCTATGAATTAGTGAAATTCAGAGTTAGTACATGCAGAAGCATTTCATCCTGTGGTGGAAGAAGTCAGCCTAATCTCAAAGAAATCTGATGTGTTCACAAGCTGTGGTCTAGCCAAGAGATTGCAAAAACGTAGTGTTATACTATCAATGAAGAGGCAACTTACACTATAGATGACTATGAGCCTCACGTTCCGACGAATACAGGATGCAAACACCTCAGAGTACTACACCAGTAGTTTCTAAAAAGCACATGGATTAAAAGGGTCTGCATTTTGCGTGTTGACTGCGATCAGAAGCTAGACAGCTGTCATCCATTTAGCAGCAGTTGAAGCACTGGAGGGACAAACGCAAGAGTCATAATTTAGAAAGATCTTTCATTAACAATGCCACGAAAAAGCAAAGAAGAATTTAACCACATTGTTGAACTAAATTCAAAATACATCTTATTTTTATGCATAATGCTGATAGAGAAAAGAAACGATCACTTTTCTTGTTGGAGGCACAGCCGCTGTTAGCTGCAAAGAGGCACACCACACAGCACTATTCTCCTCAAAAGCTGGTATTACTTGTGAGAAAGCTGCATACTAGGCAGACCTTCAGTGTCTGCAGAAACCTACTTGAAGTGCATCTCATGACTAAGTCTGGCAATAACGAGGTAGAAACCTTGAACTGTTTCTTCCC